CTGGAGAATTCTGGGAGTTGAAGTCCACAAGTCTTAAAGTTGCCAAGTTTGGGAACCACTGCCCTAGGGACTCTGGGCGGCTCAATTCCTCCAGAAAATGAATGCGGACATTATTTACAATAGATATTTGAGTTATCCTGTTTTCATTTTGCTTGCTCCTTTTTTAATTTCCTGTGTTGTACAACTTTGATCAGGATTAACCAATTCCTGATTACTCTGTAAATCCTTCTGAGAATCTCAAGATGTTTTACATTCCTGAATAGTGAGTAATAAGAAAATAATATAAGAGAATCCTGGATGAAATGGATTATCTTAATGCCTTTCAATCAGGCCCACAGATAAAATGGAAACGGCACTGCTGCTGCTCCACTGGATGACTATCAGCACCCGAATGAGCACAGGGGCAATCACATATCCTGTTAAATCTCTCAGCAGCACTCAGTATCATTAATCATTATCACAGTCCTGAGTGGGTGGATTTAGATAGTGTAATATGTAATCAAGAAAAAAGAGCTGGTGGCTCCTCCTAGCGGGTTGCTACACAGCCTAGTCCATTTTCTACATTCATTTTTTGATTTAAATGTATATGCTGCCCAGCTCCAGTATTAAGAGTTCTGGGATACTGAAGGACTCAATGGGACAAAGCCTGCTCAAACTGAAAATCAGAACGGTAGGCGTACTTTCTCAAAAACCATTGACTCCAGTGGCTCTAGATCAGGGGTGTCAAACTCAAGGCCCACAATATGGCTAGTTCTGGCCCATGGGGCTGCCCTGGAAATGGTGAGGTGGGGTTGGCGCTTGCCATCCCACCCCACCTCTCCTCTCCCAGCTTTGCCCCACCTCACCCCACAGCAGCAGCAGCACCTTCGAAGAGTAAGTGTGGCCAGTGCTCCGAGAGCCGCCCACACCCACCTCTTAGTCTTACATGCGACTGGCCCTTTGAAGGCAACCATACCGCTGATGCAGCTCTCAATGAAATTGAATTTGACACCCCTGCTCTAGATAGAGTTATACTCCCTTTATACAGTGAGTCTACAAACTGAGGGAACTCATGGATACAAGATTCTGCTTATATAGCTGATAGCACTCATAGGAGAGACTTTCAACAGCTTTGTGTATACCCAGTTTAGGATCACAATAATTCATGCCTTAATTCCTCCAGATTTGGTTGCCGCCACACATTTTACATAAGCCTGTCTTCAAAAATTCAGAAACTACAGCTACCTTCAGGATCACGTTAAAGCAGAATCTGCCTGTTTTATACACTTGACTTAAGAAGAGAGTTTAAAAGTCCCACTTTTTTTGAGAAATTAGAAGAGTGGGAGGAAAGAAACAGGAGTTTCCTCTGGCTGTCCTACAATTTTGGAGTAATTTGTCATCCAACGATTAGATGGTTCATTCACCCACATATTTAGGAAGATGCCAACAATCATACTTCTTTGCCTAGCTTTTGAAATCTAATATTTTAGCAGGCTTTTCTAGTTTTTACTTCATTTTTAACTCATAACACTCTTTCTTATAACTCAAATTTTAATAAAAATTTTCATAGTTTTTTTAGAATACTTTAAACTACCTTAAATCTATTTATTTTGCAGACTAGTTATAAATTAAATATAAATATCATCAACCCTCAGCAGAATTATTTCATTGGGTTCTCTTAAGATGTTTATGATATAAGACATTCTTTAATTAGGATCAAGTTTCAGTGTGCGTGATTTGCTCTAAACCAGAAAATCAACGCATCATTGTTCAGCATTAACTGCTACAATGTTCGTAAATGTGATGTGTTCTCACAAGTCATGTGTTTTTAAATATTATTGGTTGTTTTTGTCCTATTCATCAGTTAAGGAATCTTCAATGTAGTATAAGGGAGAAAAAGAAGCATTACTTAAAGCCTTCATCTCTTTCTTAATGCAAGAAATTCACACTTATCACAATATTTGTAGTCATATAACAATGCATTATTTTTATGATTTATTAAACAGTTGACACTAAAACTAACCTTGATAGCTTGTTCGAAGTTAAGAACTTTACGATTAACTTGGTTTCCAATCATACCAGCATCCATCTTAGGATCCATCATTTCAATAGCAGACATGGCTTCAAACAGACCAAAACTAAGGATGTTCAGAAAAGAGAATAATTAAGTTTGTATTAGCAACTTAAACAAAAATTAATGCTTATGCAGTTTAAATGTATTCTGCAAACTTAAATATCCATCTTAAAAAGTACATCCAGAATATACTCTTAAGCAAGTAGAAATAGAGAATGTGAAAAATATTAGCTATTTTCAGTAAAAAAAAAATAATTCTATAAAATAAAATCTATAAAATCTATAATATATGAATATATATCAAGAGCCAAGGTGGCGCAGTGGTTAAATGCAGCACTGCAGGCTACTGCTAGATCAGCAGGTCAGCGGTTCAAATCTCACCGGCTCAGAGTTGACT